CACACCCCTCACACGCTTCGTGGCCCCATAGGGAGCTCCACCGAGGGCTCCAGTGGCTGCGTTCGCATGGCGGCACCGCACCAATTTCGGCACACCCCTCACACGCTTCGTGGCCCCATAGGGAGCTCCACCGAGGGCCCCGGTGGCTGCGTTCGCATGGCGGCACCGCACTCATTTCGGCACACCCCTCACACGTTTCGTGGCCCCATAGGGAGCTCCACCGAGGGCCCCCGTGGCTGCGTTCGCATGGCGGCACCGCACCCATTTCAGCACACCCCTCGCACGCTTCGTGGCCGCATAGGGAGCTCCACAGAGGGCTCCAATGGCTGCGTTCGCATGGCGGCACCGCACAAGCACACCCCTCACACGTTTCGTGACCCCGTAGGGAGCTCCACCGAGGGCTCCAATGGCTGCGTTCGCATGGCGGCACCGCACACATTTCGGCACACCCCTCACACGCTTCGTGGCCCCATAGGGAGCTCCACCGAGGGCCCCAGGAGCTGCGTTCGCATGGCGGCACCGCACCCATTTCCGCACACCCCTCACACGTTTCGTGGCCCCATAGGGAGCTCCACCGAGGGCTCCAGTGGCTGCGTTCGCATGGCGGCACCGCGCCCATTTCGGCACACCCCTCACACGCTTCGCGGCCGCATAGGGAGCTCCACCGAGGGCCCCGGTGGCTGCGTTCGCGTGGCGGCACCGCGCCCATTTCGGCACACCCCTCACACGCTTCGTGGCCCGGGGCCCAGTGGCTGCGTTCGCATGGCGGCACCGCACCCATTTCTGCACACCCCTCACACGCTTCGTGGCCCCATAGGGAGCTCCACCGAAGGCCCCAGTGGCTGCGTTCGCATGGCGGCCCGCACCCATTTCGGCACACCCCTCACACGTTTCGTGGCCCCATAGGGAGCTCCACCGAAGGCCCCATGGCTGCGTTCGCATGGCGGCACCGCACCCATTTCGGCACACCCCTCACACGTTTCGTGGCCCCTGAGGGGGTTCCACCGAGGGCCCCCGTGGCTGCGTTCGCATGGCGGCACCGCACCCATTTCGGCACACCAGCCACACGTTTCGTGGCCCCATAGGGAGCCCCATCGAGGGTTCCAGTGGCTGCGTTCGCATGGCGGCACCGCGCCAATTTCGGCACACCCCTCACCCGGTTCGTGGCCCCATAGGGAGCTCCACCGAAGGCCCCAGTGGCTGCGTTCGCATGGCGGCACCGCATCTACTTCGGCACACCCCTCACATGTTTCGTGGCCTCATACGGAGCTCCACCGAGGGCTCCAATGGCTGCGTTCGCATGGCGGCACCGCGCCCATTTCGGCACACCCCTCACACGCTTCGTGGCCCCATAGGGAGCTCCACCGAGGGCCCCAATGGCTGCGTCCGCATGGCGGCACCGCGCCCATTTCGGCACACCCCTCACACGCTTCGTGGCCCCATAGGGAGCTCCACCGAGGGCCCCAATGGCTGCGTCCGCATGGCGGCACCGCGCCCATTTCGGCACACCTCTCACACGCTTCGTGGCCCCATAGGGGGCTCCACCGAAGGCCCCAGTGGCTGCGTTCGCATGGCGGCACCGCACCCATTTCGGCACACCCCTCACACGTTTCGTGGCCCCATAGGGAGCCCCACCGAGGGCCCCAGCGGCTGCGTTCGCACGGCGGCACCGCACCCATTTCGGCACACCTCTCACACGTTCGTGGCCCCTTAGGGAGTTCCCTCGCATTCGTTCAACTTGTTTTGCGGTACTCGTAACTGCATATGGTCGGGTCCATCGCCAGGATAATTCCCCATCCTCCTCTGTTTTTTTGAAGGGGCTCCTCTTCGGAACGTTTTTGAGGAGCCTCGCGAAAATGTTTAAGGCTTTTTTGAAATACTCTGGAAGCCTCTTGGGCGCCCTCTGGGAGCCTCTGGGGACTGCAACGCCACCCTGTTTATAACTGCGGCATCCGTGGACGACCAGCTGACGATTTAGAATGTGTCGGGGGGCGTATTGGGGTCATCTTGGGCCATCATGGGCCTCTTTTCGGGCCACTTCGGGGCCCTGTTGGATGGTTTGGGGGTTTCCTGGGTTGCTTGAAATCATGTCGGGAAATTGCGGCGTGGATTTCGGGCCGTGCAGGCGGTCCCGGACGCCTGGAAAACTGAAAAGAGCATCCCCCCAATAGCATAGCAAAACCAACGGCAATCTACGTTTTCTGCATGCCGAAAGCCTTTGAAGAGCGTTTTAAGGGGTCGTTTCCGGGCGTTTGGTGGATGTTCGGGGCCATCCGGGGCCAAGGGCCCTTCGGCCGCCTTCCCGACCGATTTGGGCCGGCTGCTTGGGCCCAGCAAAGCTTCCAAAAACTCCCAAAAACCCACGGGACCTTCTGCAAGTGCGTCCAGGGGGATCCCCGGGCAAGAGATAAGGGGGGGGGCGTTTAAAGCGGGGGGAAACGCAGTGTCCCATATTGTAAGGATACAAAGAAAAGGGCTGTTCCTGATCCTCACAGACAGGCAGCGCAATGTCAGCTCGTGATCAATGGCCGCAACCCCGACTTTTTGCTTTCCACGTTCAATAAAACAACAGCTGTTCCGGCGAATCGCGGGGGGGCGCACGCCATGTGGAAACACACCGTGGCGACTCTGGTGACTAGCGCCGACCCCCAGCCGACAGCTGGAAGGCAACAGGCGCGACGCAACCGGCGCCGCGCCAACGGAGGGGACAGCAGCACCTCCGCTACAGCGGCGCCGCTGAGCCAAAATGGCCAGGCCACAAACAGGAGAGAAGCAGGAGGCGGGAGGAAGAGACGCCTCACAACTGGCGGGCGGTGGCGACACGGCTACGAACAAGAAGCGGAAGGAGGCGGCCACGACACCCCCTTTTCCTTTTACACTCGCCACACCCAACTCCACTGCAATATGTCCCATGGGGGGGTGTTGCGTGGACGCGCTGTACTTGACGACGACGATGGCGACAGGGCCAACGACGGGGCGACCGACGAAGCGCGCGCGCGAGCGCATTGCGGACGTCCCATGGGGGGGCGGGGGGATGCGCAGGGCCGCCTTGAAGGACGACGACGACGACGATGACGCGACGACGACGACACCGACGACGACGACGACGACGACGACGACGACGACGACGACGACGACGACGACGACGACGACGACGACTACGACAGACGACGACGATGATAACGACAATGATGACGACGACGACGACGACGACGACGACGACGACGACGACGACGAGACGACGGCGGCGGCGGCGGCGGCGGCGGCGGCCGGCGGCTGGCGTATGCAGCGAAGGCGACGGCGAGGGCAAGGGCAAGGGCGACTGCGAGGGCGACGACGCCGACGACACGCTGTGGCTGCCCCATGGGGGAAGGGGGGTGCTGCGAAGGTCCGCTGCAGTCTACTCGACCACGACGACGACCGACAACCAACGTCCGACGACCGACGGCGACGACCGACGACAGACGACCGACAACGGCGACGACGCCGACGACGATGCCGACGGACGACGACGAAAATGACGACGATGACGAACACAAAAACCACGACGATAACGACGACGATGACGACGACGACGACTGACGACGACGGCGGCGACGGCGACGACGACGGACGACGACGCAGTGAGGATGCCCATACGGGGGGGGGGCGCTGTGCAGTCGACGTCAACGACGACGACGACGGACGACGACGAAGAGGACGGACGACGACGACGACGACGACGACGACGGATGATGACGCACTGCGGACGCCCGATTGGGGGGGGTTCTGCGAAGGCACGCTGACGTCGACGACGACAACGACAACGACGACGACGACGACGACGATCACGGCCTGAGAGCACGACGACGAGCACGACGACGACCACGACGACGACTGTGGCACGTCAGTAAGCAGCCTGAGAAGGGGGGGAAAACTCCGCCTCGGATGTATGAGTCCGAATACAAGTTCTATATGACAGGCGGTCGTTTTGAGGCTGTTGTGCAGGGGGGTCACGATCCCCTCGGCGGCGCCCGCGACGACAGCCTGGCGCGAGTGATTGAACAAAAATAGTTTTGCGCCCCGCGGGGTCCATTCATCAGCCTTGGCAAGGGGGGGGGGGGCGGTCAATTCATCATCACAAGCTGACACTCAGGAAAAAAACATACGAAAAGGTGGGACAGCGGCAGGTCGGCCACTCCTTCACTCAGCGATCACCACGGCAGAACAGAAGCACCAGCCACCATTGTCATCCACATGCTGCCCACCTCGCCCTCATCACTGCCACGGAGAGGGGGCTGCCTACCACAAGCCATGCAACAAGACCTATGCCCCCCCCTGCTCTGCCAAAGCAGCCTCCCCTGGGCAACTGCGAGTGGGCAGGGCGGGTAAATATGTGTGGGGGGGGGGGGGGGGGGGGGACGACGTCCTCCACCTCTTCCCCCCCTCCCTGCTCCTCCGCTTCCTCCCCCCATACCTTCTTTTGGCTCCTTCCTCCTCATCCCTCCCCTTCCCTGTCCCTCCTACCCTCTTCTTTGTCCTGCGCCCCCGCCCCCTCTCCCGCACTGCCCCGTTCTTCCCTCCCCTCCTCCACCCGCCCCACCTCACGGCGCTGTGACCCCACCAGCAGTTCGGCGGCGCGCCCGGGGAGAAGTGAAGGAGGGCAGATGCCCTCTCAGAAGGCGGCGGGGCTTCTCAGAAGCCCTTTGGCCCTTTGAGAAGCCGCCCCTGTCTTCGGAGAAGGCTCAGATGACTTCTCGGAAGGTTGGAGGCCTTCCGAACCTTCTGAGACGGCCCGCCCCATATGACGTCCTCTCCTCCACCCGCCCTCCCTCACAGCGCCCAAGAGTCGCGTCGCTATGGGTACCCAGCGCGGATCCAAGGCATCTGCGCGGAACCCCAAGGGTTCAAGCGTCTGCCGTTGTTTCTTCGGCAACCGCCCGCCAGCCGTGCCGGTCCGATCCGCCCTCCGCTCCCCCGTCCGAGGCCCGAGCACCCATGGGGCCCCGCACGCCCGGCGCGTCCTCGCCGCAGGCGGCGGGGCCGGCAGGTGGTGGACACGGCCGACGGGCCGTCGGCCTCACGCGCGGGGGGGGGACAGCCACGGCTGTCACTCAGGGCACGGGTGGTTTCCTTCACCAATCAACTTGGGGTCTTCTTGGATGAGCTTCGAAACCAGCCCCACGGCCTAAAACGGGGGACGGCGGATGATTTACGACTAGAACCACGCGCGCGCTTCGCGCGCGCTTTGGTTCTCTTTTGGGGGCCTCTTTGGGGCCTCTTGGGGGCCTCTCGGGGGCCTCTTGGGGCGGAAAGCTCGACATGCCGGTTCGTATTTCCCTTCTTGGGTCCCTCTTGGGGTCGTCCTGAAGACCTCTTGGGCCGTCTTGGGCCTCTCTCGGGCCGTTTGGGGACTCTCTTGGGCCGGCTTGGGGGCCTCTTGGGGGCATCTTGGGGGCCTCTTGGGCCCTCTTGGGACGATGTTAGAGGCTTTTTGCGTAGTCTTGGCGTGTCGGAAGCCCGAAAACTCGAACAGCAAAAAAACATAAAAACACAATGAAAATCGACTATGTTGGCCTCCTGGGGCCTTCTTGGAGGTTCTCTTGGAGCGCTCTTGGGGGCCTCTTGGGGGCCTCTTGGGGGCCTCTTGGGCCATCACGGGGCCATCTTCGGCGGCTTGGTGCGCTCTCGGGCTGTCTTGGCGGCCTCTGGGCGCCCTCTGCGGGCGCCAAGGGGGGCTTCCGAGGCGCAGGGAGCGCCCTGGAGCGTTCAAAAAGGCTCGCCGGCGCCGGGGACTGAAGTCGGGTGCGGGGGGGGTGGGGGAGTTTTGGAAAAGTGGGATGCCCCTGGGCCCGGGGACCTGGACGCCCGGTATGTTATATATGTTCAAGTACTTACTTGGTCCGGAACACATGGCGGCGTTCCGCCTTACTATCGCGTTCGCTGGCACGCGTGGGAGGAGGAAGAGGAGGAGGAGGAAGAGGAGGAGGAAGAGGAGGAGGAGGAGGAAGAGGAGGAGTTTCAGTGCAAACCCAAGTCTCATCAACGATGTTGAAGTACACCGTCCCTCCAAAATCTCTTTTCGTAAGCTCTTACCAAAAAGTTACTTCCAATGAAAGAATTGCCCCGTTGGGAATCAACCGTGTGATAATTTTGAAGCGTGCCAAAACACCGTTCTCATGACTTCAAAGCCACGCATTTAATTACCTGACTGTTACGTCTTGGCGACCCTGTTACGAATCAGAACACCAATCCTGGGAATTCAACACCGCGAATCGCTCGGTGTCCAAGCCCAGGAATTTTTGGGACGAGCACCAGAAATCCGAAGACAGGAAAGACAAATCACAATCCTGGAAAGGGCAGAGCCCAACCCTGAAGAGGGCGCACGTAGCCCAACCCTGGAGAGGGGCAGGCCCAACCCTGGAAGCCCCCACCCGAGCATCGGAAAGCACGGCAGATGGAGGAGGGGGAGGAGGAGATTATCCCGGCAAAGCAACCTAACAGCGATGTGTAGAAGCATATCTGAAAGCATTCCCCTTAAGATTCAGATGAAAATCCAGTTGTCGAATTCTGCTGTTCTCGCAGTCGTAGTCGCATTCGCGATGACAGTCGCAGCGGCAACGGCAGTCGCAGTCACAGCCTCAGCCTCAGCCTGCCTCAGCCTCAGCCTCAGCCTGCCTCAGCCTCAGCCTGCCTCAGCCTCAGCCTCAGCCTGCTTCAGCCTCAGCCTCAGTCTGCCTTCAGCCTCGGCCTCAGCCTCAGCCTGCCTCAGCCTCAGCCTGCATCAGCCTCAGCCTCAGCCTCAGCCTGCCTCAGCATCAGCCTGCTCAGCCTCAGCCTCAGCCTGCCTCAGCCTCAGCCTCAGTCTGCTTCAGCCTCAGCCTCAGTCTGCCTTCAGCCTCGGCCTCAGCCTCAGCCTGCCTCAGCCTCAGCCTGCCTCGGCCGCAGCATCAGCCTGCCTCAGCATTCAAAATGTGGCCCAGGAATGGAGTTCTGGGAACTAGAAGAACACGAAGTGGCCTACAGATTCAAAATTGGGAATGGAGTTCTGGGAACTTGAAGAGCACGAAGTGGCCTACAGTTGGCTCCGGGCATCCAAAATGTGGCCCCGGAATGGAGTTCTGGGAGCACCAAGAGCGATTTTGCGAGGATGTCCCAAGCGATTTCGGCTTCGGCGGCAGCCTCCCCGGGTCCCGCCCCGACCCCCCTGTGGAGTCATCTGATGCTCTCTTTTGAGTCCACTAGAAACCTATCAGCAAAAGCTGTTAGGTAAAAAGAGGAGAAGGTTAGAGGAGGAAGAGGAACACAAGGAGCGGAGGCCCGTGCCGGGCACGGCGGACGCCCTGGGCATTGGAAAGCACGGCAGGAGCAGAACGAGGAGAAGGAAAAGAAGAAGGAAAGGGAGAAGGAGCACGAGAAAGAGAAGGCCCGTTGCCTGGCGTGGCAAATGACGCCAACAACGTCTGCCGATTGCTCGATAGCTTCCGAACGAGCACCGAATCACCGAATAAAATCGGACAACGTGTGCACGCCATCCCTGGCCAGACATCGCCCGACCTGGAACTGTGATTTGTGTCGT